GTTCTCAATTTTCTTGCAAAGCAGCTCGGAAACTTTCTCCGTTCAGCAAGCCTTTTAGGCACATATTTGTCGATGGCTTCTTTCATTACCGACGTCACCTTTTTTGCTGCAAAATCTGCGTCACTCGCATCATATAGCTCAGCTAACGGATACGATTCATCAGTGGCTGAACAGGCTGAAGTAATCTCCCTTTTCATTACAGTAAATGCATTTCGAAAGTTCTCGCGATAAACATGGCAAGTGATATTCGGCTTCAAGGGGGGGATGACGGGCATCGACCCCCACCAAGGGGTGTGACGAAGGCGTTATCGCGCGCCGAATGGGAAGCTTGATAAAAGAAAGTCAAGTGTATTGCCTGATACTTTCGTAAGCCAATAAAAATCGATAAATGGCAGAAACCTAAAAGCTTTGCTTTCTGTCACGTAATCACAATGATAGAGGACCACAGTCCACGTAAAGGGTAAAATTGCTAAATATTTGCACTTCGTTTTCGGTAAAATTGATTTGACTCGTTAATGCGTCAAAGTGTGAAATAAAAGTTGAGCACTCAGATTTAGGTGGGAAATAGTAGTTTTCCAATAAAGTATTTATTACGATCGCGTAATAAAATTTTCGAGCTCCTTATAATGCCATGCTTAAACTTCTATAGTATGATACAAAAGACAGTCTGCAAGCCCTGGCTGTAGCGTGTTAGCGGGTATCACCTTCTACTTGTTTATATAAGATGCTTAGTTCATTGAATCTTATTACCAACAGTTGAGAAATGTCTTTATTAGGCACGTACTATATACAACTAAAAACACGACATTAGTAATTCTTCGTTCACCTTTGCGTAGCATATACCTACGAGTTTGATGTGAGGACGGTCTAGCGTTTAGGTTCTTCGTTTCATATATTGATACAATGATTTCTTCACCCTTCATGAAACACTCGTACGGGCCATCAAGGTTCAATACATGTTGATTGCGATGTTGATGACGAATAAGGGGCGATTTTTGATCAGATAGAGAAGGGCGTGACTGGTCGGTATTATTAATTCATGGTACATATATATATATATATATATATATATATATATATATATTTTTATACTGTAAACGACAAAATGTTTGCGAGTACTTAATTTTATCGAATTCCGCGACTCGAGTACTGTGACAAAAAATGTACCCCGCTAATGTATTACGCTGTGGCAGGGGTGGGCCCTAGTGCCCTAGTGCGGCACTAGTTGGGCCCTAGTGCGGCCCACGTGCGGCCCTAGTGCGGCCCACGGCTCCCTACAAAAGGCGCGATGCAACGATTTTCGTACTTTGCGCGAATACCGCTTAGAACGAATTCCTGACGTTAAAATGACCTATGAAACACGCGTTCGTTTTTCGTCACACCCAAGAGGATTCGCAGAAACAATGAAAGAAAAAAAAAAGATGAAAGACGTTTACAATTTTCCGTAATGCCGAATCAGAGCGCAGCTCTTGAGGAGGAAGAGGGGAGGGTACGGAGGGGAGGGTATGCTCCTGCTCCTTCTCCGTACCCTCCCCTGCTCCTCTCCTGGTCCCCAACCATTTAGGGAGGAAATTTCGCTAAATTTTCGGCTAAATAAAAGCAGAAATAATAAAAATAGAAACGGACAGAACAGCAGTGTTCTGTCCGTCCCTATCGATGTTTATTCTTTCTGGTTTTATTTAACTTCACCAACCCGCCCACGCCGAACAAAATTCTCGCTAAATTAAGCGAAAATATCACCGCTAACTTTAGCGGGGAAACATTTTTACTATATTTAGTGGAAAACGTTACCCGCTAAATTTGGCGGGAAAATTTCCCCGCTAAATTTATTAGAAAAATATTCCCGCTAACTTTAGTGGGAAAATATTTCCGCTAAATATAGCGGAAAAAACTTTCAAGCTAAATTTAGCCGAAACAATTCCCCGCTAAATTTGGCAGAAGAATTTCTCGCAAAGTTTAGCGAAACATTTTCACGCCAAGTTTAGCAGGAAAATTTTACCCTCGTGACGTCACACGTGACGTCACGTGTGACGTTATTATGGGAACATCCCATGATGCAACGCGCGGTTACACTGCGCTCTAATGGCAATAGTGTTCGCGTGGTCAGTTTCTGGCCGGTGCTCACGGTTCGGGCGGTGGTTTTCCGGCAAGCACCGGCAACTTTCCGGCGCTTTTTCCGCCCGAGCTCCAAACGGCAGGGCGAGTAGGCGCCAGACTATATCCGCTGTCGTCACTTCCGAAATGGGAGAGAAGGTCAGTGAGAAAAAAAATGAACGAAAGAGCGAAAATGATCTGAAGTCACTTCACCAGCCACTAGTCGAGTCAATTTAAGTCGTTGGGACATGGGTGACCAAGGTTGACGGCGGCGACAGACTCTCGCTAACGATGTCGCGCGGGCAAGAGGCGAAGCAAACTGCCACCGTCTGGCGTTTCGTGTTCGGGTGCTGAGAGTTTTGTGGTGTGTCGCCGGCGCGTTTCTGGTTGCCGGTTCCGCCGGCTCGGTGTCGCCGGCGATTGACCACCTGAATTCGCCATAAAAGAGCAGCGTTCACCCCCTCAACTCGCAGCCGGAACAATCGGTCACGTGATCTGGCGCCGATCATGTACCACCAATGTTGATCATAACCACGCGATGGGGTTGGCAAGGCTCAGGATATGCGCTGAGTTCCATACGTTGTTATTGCTCGGCAATTGTAGTCATTCAAGCGATTGGACACGGGCCACCACCCCAATGCTTGTCATGCTATTAATTATCACGAGCCCAAATCGAATGCTCACGCCGTGCTCGGGTTCAGCCGCATTAAAACATCGTCACTGGGGGTACTTCCAGCCCCCAGCTACGTCATCAAGTCGTTTGGATAAGAGATTGAAAATAAAAAAAAACGCTCGCTTGTCTTTGATAATACACCACAACAGGGGTTTTTTGGTCAGTGGTGTTGCGTGAGTATACTTGGGGTTCCACAAAGTGCCAGTAAGCTCGTGTGAAGTGAAACACATTCCGAGCGAAAATCGTTGCACGACCTTTTAGTGTTTTCAAGAAAAAAATTCGAAAATATAAAATAAAAGACGGCTTTTGTTTTATGCAAGCTAGAGAGCGTGATGGATGCTAAACCGAAGTCTAATCTCACCGGTGCAAGTTTTCTCAATGAATCTCTTGCCAAGCTTGGGTGACTTCAGAGAGATTTTCGGACGAAGGGCTGAAGATTATCCTGTATTTTGAGAAAACTGTGGGATCCCGGCCGCGTGTGCCACAAGCAAATATCGCCGAAGTCTAGCTTGCGGGTTAGGAACTTCGGCCAATGTTCGGGCCCGACGTACGTACGGGCGATCTGACTCTCACAGGCCATTTGTACCCTGTAAGGCGATTTTGTTTTGCATCTTGCACCTTCTAAAAAAAACTGTTCTAGCCTTGAAAAAATATATATATTGATTGATTAATTGATTGTTAGATTGATTGATTGATATGTGGCAACTTTGTAAACGATGAAGCCGGTGAAATCAAAACAATATGAGACCCCGACCAAGAAATACCTCAGCTGCTCAATATACTAAAACTACATGATTAAAGGTGAACTTCAATACTCTTGTTTAATGAATGGAGACGCAGAATTAATAAACGTAATGAGCAATCGCTTTATAAATGTAATTTTGCTGTAGCCACCATCTCAGATTAAACAAATAAAAATACCGACACGGCCATTTGTTTTTACGCCGCCTTTTTGTTTAAAATGGTTAAATTTTTATGGCTCGTTTCATATCTCCGACTGGCCACCCCGGCGCTATATGGTAACGAATACATATAAAATTACTCTCAATAGCAAAAATGTGCGCCTGCTAAGTATTGCGAAAACCCGCACTTTGCGAAATTCGCGAAATATCGAGCCCGAACTTATTAGGTCGTTTACAATATGCGTTTTGCAAACTTCTAGTACAAGCAAATCAACAATTATTTTACCCCCAAAAAAACACAAAAAAACAAATAACTCACGACACAAAAAAAGCATACGATGAAGAGAGTCGCATTTTGCGCATACCAACGGTGTAATAAAGAGACATGTGGTCTTTTTTTTTTTCTTCTTCGAACTTTGGTTACAAGGAACCAATAAAAACTAGTATTCATTTTTAATTGACTTATACTTTGTTAAAAAAAAGTGGCAAACATGGCCGTTTGAGAAATTGCCTTATAACTTTGCTGGCCTGTATTATTTGAAAGTGTTTCATGAGAAATGTGGAATGTTGAAACGCTATTCTTCTCACAGACTTATATAAAACGACGTAAATATAACTCATATAACGCATAACGCAATGACATAAATATAGCGCATACAAACTCCCGATTAACACAAAAAGAAAATGAAAATTTCAGACCCCAATTAAAAAAGAAAAAAACAACCCCTCATTGAGTTCTTTTAAATTGTGTCACTATTTCTTTATTTGAGTGCTCACACCGATTGCAAGCAAGCGGCAATAGATGATTGAATATGGGAACAAGCTACGCTGCGGGGTTCTCCACTGGAAGTTATTCAGACTTCCAGTTTTAAAAAGTTGTCCCTGTTTTTATACGCATCTGCTTAATTAATCCCATATTAGCTACAAAAAGAAATACACGAACAGTAGAAACAAGGTATAAATATTAACTTGTATACATGGTGCAAAGCGGTTACCTCATACGAAACCGCTTTCCGAAAAGACTGAGCACCCACGTTGGCCGGCTGAAACGATTAATTTAATAAATAATGGAAATACACGAGCCAAAATAATACCAAGATATCTATTCAGTAATACTTCAATTCCCCCCCCCCCCCCCCCCCCCCCGAAAAAAGAATTAAATTGCGTGCGTTCGAAACAATGCTTGACTCATACAGGGACTACGTAACGTGGTAACACGGAGGTAACACAGACGCAACATTTCTGGCGAAGTGCGTATGCCGTTGATTGGAACTTTGACGTCAGAGTGAGATAAGATAAAGCTGTCGTTTCTAGATCACGAGGCAAAGGTCAGATTGGCCTCGTGTCCGCCACCGGCCTTTATATTGACGCTCGCACCTACAGCACTCAATATCGCACAAGACAGCGCACGTTGGATGAGACGACTACTTGCCGGTGGGAGAAGAAAAAAGTAAGTACTGCAAAGTTGCTTCTTCCCTCTATTGAAAACAATGGTTTTCAATGGAGCCAACCGCAGTATCGTAACGTTCTGAAACGTTGTTTTTTGTGTGTTTGGAGGTGAGATGTTTCTTTTCTTGCCGTTTATTACGATTAAAGGGACATTTAAAGGGACAAAAAACTTTAAATGCTTGAATTACACACGTATACAAACTAAAAAAATCTCGCCCCCTTTCTAACTTTTTTTCTTTTTTATGGCAAGAAAGAAAGAAGGGAATATTTACGCTTTGAGACTTATTTTGAGCAAGGAGCGATTCCGAGACCGCGGATTCTACATCGGCACGTGGACCCAAAATAAAATCATGGTTTAAAATCGGTTCAAATAAGCCTCGCGGCTTATATGTTGGGTCGCAATATTTCAGTTCAGGGAAAGTCTATTTTGTGACACTGATCCAGGCACCTCACTAAAACGGTTTTGGGGAGTTTAATGTGAAAAAGAACCAACATAAAGTGATAAGATCGCCCTACGCTAATTATGCAAAGAGCAACACTTGAGTTCATGATTCTACATAATGCGGAGAGCGAGTTCGTCCGCTTCTTTCGCAGGAGTTGCGGTGACATCAGAACGACGCCTATAGCTCTGATTGGCTTTGATTGAAAGGATAGTGGGTAGAATACCTCAATGCTAGATGCCTTGAGGTCTACCCACTATTTTTTTTTTTTTAATCAGCCAATAAGAGCTCGGCGTTTTGACATCATCGGGAACCCTTGAAACTTGTAGCCGAACTGAAGATTTAGCCAAACTGAAGCGTCCAGCCGAATTGAAACTTCTAGCCGAATTGAGGATGTAGCCGAACTGGAACGTCCAGCCGAATTGAAACTTCTAGCCGAATTGAGGCAATAGCCGAATTGAGGCTTCAGCCGGATTGGGACGACACCGTAAGAAGCAGACGAACTTACGCTTCGCATGACGTTGCGACGCATCCTATACGACAAATCTGCCGCTCAGTTGCCCACGTGTCTTGCGCCATGTTAAAAAAAAATAATAATAATGAAGCAATCGCAATGTTGCTTCAAATTTAGCTCTAAACGTTTTAGTAAGGACTTAGTGAGGAAGCCGAAGGACTTGGAGATTCCTTCGGCTTCCCCTTTGTAACGCGGAAATTTGGATTATGGATCTGGCCAGTTGACTCCTCTGGCACTTGCACTGCCGCTTCTATTGGCGCTTAAACGGATTGTCCGGTCTAAACCGGAAGTACTTAAGTTTTTGCGCTCGTTAGGTCTTGGGAGCTTTCATATAGACAAACGTCATTTTTTTATTTTGATATATAATTTCCAGATGTTAATTAAACTAGTCATGAGCGTGTGTACGAAACTGCGAAAAATTCATACCCCCGAAAGGACTGCTCATAATGTCTTCTAAACAAATTTAAACGATCGCTCCTCAAATTCTGCATTTCATGTCTTATAATAGGACATTTAAAGGAAAGTTGCTGTCAATCTATTTTTTCCCTTCACAGCTATCAGCTGCTTCGTCCGACCCATATATAGACATCTCCAATCCCGAGCCATGAATTACCGGTCGTGGTGCATACTGGTTGCTGCTGTCTTGGGCACCCTGGCCACTGCCAAGTGTGCCAGCCTGGAAGACGCTGCGCTGCGACTGAAGGATTTAACTTCGAGCGGAGGACTCGCCGGTTTGGGCTCCAGCAATGGCGCTACCCAACACGCAGAAAGAAAAGAGTTCCGCAACTACACGTCGGATAACCGCGAAATGATCTGCAGGCCGCTGGAAGGCGGCGGCTTTGAGTGTAAGACACCAACCCGGTATTTTTTTCTTCTCTTTTTAATTTAACTTTCACGTAACTTTTTCCTTTACAATTGACGGCAACGGACTCTACGAGCCCTCCCAGCCAATCAATTGCTGTGACCGTCTTTCGTCATTTTGCGTCCCACGCGTCGGTCACTCCTCCCGATAGGTTATCTGAGACACCCGCGTGAGACGTTGGATTGGCTTGAATAGAGAGTTTAAGCAGACCGTTTTAATACCTCCGATACACCCTATAACGATACCCGATAACGATACCATGTACGCGCTAAGGCGGCGGCGGAATATCAGATATCGTTATCGGAATCATCGGAACGATCTACTAAAACTCTCTACTCTGGCGACGCGTTTGCGCATGTCGTCATCGGGTATATTGCCATCGGAAGTATCGGGAGGAGATATTAAAACTCTATATAAAACAGTTTTAGTAGACCGTTCCGATACTTCCAATAGGGAGTTTTAGGGAACCATTTTTGCACATCCCATACGATGGGCCCTTTGGTACGCACTGCGCATGTGCAAGTCCTTTGCGGTGGCGCATACGCAGTTTGTACCGGAGGGCCCATCGTACCGTAACGGATGTGCACAAAAGGTTCCCTAAAACTCCCTAATAACGATACCCGATAACCACAGAATGATCGTGCAAGGGCGTCCAGGAGTGTCCGGTATCGTTATCGGAATGATGCACTAAGACTCCCCAATAACTCGTAGCGTCCTTTGCTGTCCGCCGCAAGGGAAAACGTAGATAGGTAGAGTGTAGTGTGATATTTAAAGAGTCTACAAGACGCCGCCATCATGATAACAGTTGCCATGTTTTGGGCATTGCTTCCAGCGTTAACTCTATGACCGGATATTGCACGCCGAACGCTGATAAGACGCTCGGTGACGAATTCAACCGAATGATCAGGCAGGGCTGGGCAGAGATAACCCCAAAAATATCTTGGAATACAGACACTTAGATACATGTATTTTCAGGCCCAAAATACAGATATTAAGACAGATTTGTCTTTTATGCAACCGGATGTCCCTGAGATACTTCTGAAAAATACAGAGACAGATACCGATAGAAATATATTTGTTCCCGAACGGTGCTATGTGGGGACGGCGTAGTTCATGGCGAATACGAATGGAAATTTATGCTTGTGCTTCTCTTTTTGTCATTTATACACTTCCCCTGAACTTAAACTAATTCTGCTAAAAAAAGTATCATGCCATGTGAATCATAGAGGTACTTAACGGTAAAGACTGCCTGCCATGCTTGACAAAAGGCGTTTGCACGAAATGAACCCTGTTTCGCCTTAAGGCCGCATCTCTAACTGCCGCCTCAAACTGCCGTTATGTGCTTCTGAGTAACCCCATAGTGTGAGGAAATTCGACAACACAGCCGTGTGCCGTTTCTCCATCCAACTCCTTTACAGCGTTCGCTATGATAAATTGGAAAGGGTGGAGGGCTTTTTTAGAGGAGATTATTGTGTTATTCTTACAAGTAACCTTCTTTAAACCACAGATTTTTCTTTTTGTTGCTGATTGTGATGGATTATAATATAAGGCGGGTTCATTCCATAAACTGTGAAAAAACTTGCACTAAACACATGTTTTTATCTTTTAAATTTATCATAATAACGGCAACAAGTGTAACGAGATGCCTAAGTCTGCCAAAGTATCACGATGCAAGCGATGCATTGTAAATGAATTTTACTACTGAAGTACAGATATATTTTTCAAACGTATCTCGATGCAGCAGATACTCGAATGTTACTAATTTGTCCCTGTACTCATTGAATTAAGATCTGTATCTAGGTGTATCTTAGATCATCTTCATGTTCTTTCATCAAGACGTGTACGTTTCAACTGCTCTAAGCGTCTCTTCTTCCTTCGACGACCAAATCTTGCGAGACCTCTATACTTCACGCAGCGCGGGAATGATGCACATTCATTGCGCTTTCCTCGATGTGACAAGGACTATGGTTACTCTCTCGTTACTCTAAGCCAGAGGTTGGCAACCGGCGGTCCGCGGGCCAGATACCCGCCAGCGTGCCAGAGTGTTTTCTATTGCTCTCTACAGAGAGCCCGTAGTACAGAGACTTTCGAACTGCTCTGTCGAAGTCACGTGGTTTATGGGCCGCATTTTCCATACGGGCTGCAAGGGGGAGCACGAGAGAGTTCATCGTCTGCAAACGCCTTTGCCTTTCCGCCTGCTTTCCTCCTCACAACGCGAAAACGCAGCGCATTCACACTTCCGGTCGATCTCCGCAGAAGGCGTCCGCCATTAAATTGCGAATGCTCCTCGTGATTTGAGATGCACCCGCTCTTCAGTCTTGGCTCTCTCTCGTAGTAAGAGATCTTAAGTGGTTCTAAGGCACCCTGTCCCAAGAAGTCGCACCCTGTCTTCAACCTAGCCTTTCTAGTGTGCTCTCGTAAAAAGGAGTCGCGAGTGTGCGAAGGGGCCTTAAGAAGTGACCTTAAACACGTGTGCCACCCTCTGCAGGCAAGTACACGGAGACCACCTCCAACTTCTCCCTGTCCTGGACTCCTGGAGCCATCGCCGGCCTTGTGGTGGGACTGATCGCGCTTCTCGTCTGCGTGACCGTATGCTGCGTCTTCGGCTGCCGGGGAGTGTGCGGAAGGAGAAACACGGTAGGTGCTTCATGCGCTAAATGAGAACGAGCGACCGAAGGCCATATCGGTGAAATCGCCGCACGTCGTCGCCAAATATACTGGCCGTCCCCCCCTTCAATCTCTGACGTAGCGTCGTTATATAAAACGAAAACGCGCTAAAATTGTAAGACTTTTAATAGTAAACACAGCACTGCACGGTTATACCATGTAGATGCGCACAATTCCAAAATACAGGAAACACATATAAATATTCATTATTCCTCAAAATGAAATTTTGAGATCCCTTTCGGGGCCGCTAAAAAATATCACATCGCCAACAAAGTTTTTTACAGCGGAGCTGTTAAGGGCCAGTTTCCCCAGGATTGTGTCTCCCGTAAAGAAATGAAGACACCGAACTCTGGACACCTAGCCTGTAACAGCTCCGCTGTAAAAGAAATCCGGCAGAAGTAATCTAACTCAACGACGATGTTCTTAAATGAGTTAAGATATATTGCCCTAATGCATGCAGTCGTCTTTGGTTTGAACCACTGATCTGAATGACAATTGCTGGATCGCGCTTCCCCGCTTGTTCGCTGCAGCGCGAGTGAAGCCACCGGACGGCCATCTTGCTCGTAGACGATTTGCGATTTTGCTAGCGTTTTGCTGCGGTTTTCCAGCGTGCTATAAACACGTTTTCTACTCGTTCGTCGTCATTCGCTGGAGAAGATTTTTAAGACTCTGTGTAACCGTTGAGACTTGCCGTTGTGAACACGTGGAAAGTTTTACGAAAGCGCAGTGCCGCAGGAAAAAGGCACAACTCGTCGGAAGCAACTTTCGCCGGTCTCGCGGTGGGGTCAAAGCTTCCTTGGCACGCCGAAGTGCTGCGTCTCTGTGCCTTCGCACGCTTGGATACCGATCAAGATTCGTTTCGGCGCCGTGTGGATGTGTTTGGCGAATGCAATGCGCGTCAAGCCGTATGTACCTCTGCAGGGGCAGCGTTTAACTTTTACGCTGACTGTATTTGTAACTTGCGGCACTCACGGTCCAGAAGCGAGCTTGATCCAGTGTCCAGTGGTGACGGAAGAGGGGGGGGGGGGGGGGGGGGAAGCGGCATCAGCGGCGCAATTTTTTGTTGTTTATTGGACGCTTATGACAATCATATCAGTAGTACGAAATCTTTATTTTTTTTGTGGCTTTTTCCTGCTGCACTGCGCTTCCATAAAAATTTCCACGAGTTCTCAAGCGAGTCTCAACCGTTACACAGGGTCTTAAAAATCTTCTTCGACGAATGACGACGAACGAGTAGGAAACGTGTCTTCAGCACACTGCCGCCAGCCTCTGTAACGCTAGCAAAACCGCGAATCCTTTCCGAGCAAGATGGCCGTCCGGTGGCTTCACTCGCGGGAGCGGGAAGCGCGATCCAGCAATTGCCATTGAGATCAGTGGTTTGTACGCTCGTGATTTCGACTAAACGGGGCTGGTTTCGTGGGACTACGGCCAGGTGGGCTGCCGACGTCCGCGAGAACGGACCAGCTCTCCGAAGACAACAACATGCACACCATGATAACAAAAAAAAAAAAAAAATATATATATATATACGCTGCGAGGTTGGAATTTTTATTCTCCGCTGAGTCGGAACCCCTACGCTAAATGCAACCGCATTTAGTCGAGGATCCGCGCAACGATAGCAGCGATTTCTACATCATTTTTATGTGTGTAATAACTATAAAGTTCGTTAATAAAAAATGCAAATGTGACCCGATTTGGGTGAGTTACGCAGAACCTAGCGCTTCCACTGCGCTTCCAGTTTTTGGTCAGCATCGTTTTACACTGTTACGGCTCCTAGCCCATGAAAGAGTTGACCTGATTTCACGATTTGTTTCAGCCAAACACGACGGTGGCATACCAAACACCGCACCAGGTGACCATGGGACCGGCGACCCAGTCCTTTCCCCAAGGTGCTTACCCTAAACAGTAGCCCTGATCATTGTCTTTCGCTTTGAGAACAACCCCAAAGCAACCGAGCCAGCGGATTCGTCGACCGGCTACATCCTCAACGGCGCCACCGCCGACAAGTCGTATGAGTCTGAAAAGAAAGAATAAGAACTTGTGTATAACTGCGGGAAACATCTGTGCTATACGCCATTTATATAAATGCACAACACAGCGCTTTTCATATCCACTGCCCGATAAGCGCAAGTTTGTCCCTTTGTACAAAGAGTACCTCTTGCGTGTGCCCTTTGTCCTATCTCGTCTGTGTCGTCCTCTCTATGTTTTATTCTTTCTGTTATCTAGCACCTCTTGTGTTCTACATTTCTTCCATATAAATTAATTTAATAAAAAGCACTAATGTGCATTTAAGTGACCTTTCGTTATAAAATTACCCGATTATTTGACAAGAAAAGAAAAACGCATTTGAATGCCGTAATAGACCATATTCAAAACTCCATCGAGCAACATTGGCGGGGTTCTTTTCTTGGGAGCACGAAGACTGTGTTTGAAACCGAGTTTCCGCCGAAGGCTGACGCCGCACTCGTTCTCAAAACGAGCTGAGACGACTTCACGCCGTACGCTGACGCGACCCTTAAGGTTCAATGCATGCTCAGATTGCGTGTCCAAACAATGACAGATTCAGGTAATTGGCACTGCAGCTACGAGATGGCATGCACGTTTGGAAAGGGTTTATTGGAGGGCATTGGCGGCGAGTATCAAGAGCTTTATCGCAATCTCGTCAGGAGAAAAAGAGTTGTTTGGGTACGGCAGCATATATATATTTTTTTAATTATTATTATGTTTCATAGGGGTCATTAAGGGAAGTTGTAAAATGTAAAATGTTTCCACGGCAAAAAAAAAAAAAAAAGGTCATTAATAAGTGTGCCGAGCAAAGAAACGGCTTACTGAGGCTCCGGTGTTTATTGTTTACTGTGTTTTCAGTAATCTGTCAGAGTAAAGTCGTCTCTATATAGTGCATCACCTTTATGTCGTTTCAACCATTCGCGCGGTATTTATAGTCATCATTGTTTACCATGCACACACTGTATGTTTTTGATGTTATAAGTTGTTCTCAGGTATGCAGGTTCTACAATGTACCAATAAAACCCCATTCGTCACTTACTCCGTGTTACCGACATCAATTTCGACACCTATGACGCAGAAGTCTCCGTACCAATGTTATGCGAGTACGCTCTGCTTCATCTATAAGGCCCGGTCACACACTTGGGCTTGCTTACGACCGAATTTTTGTAACCTCTTACGACGAGAGAAGACACTAGCACGCTCGCGCCATCTATGAGGTGACCCTGGAAGCTCACTGCACTAGAGCAGAGGCTTTGCAGTAGTTGCGAGATCAAATGTACGTGATATCTACTAGAAATAGTCGCTTACAACATTGTCAAAAACCTCTCAAGACAACAGTGAATAACGCGCGAAAATAAAACAGAAACAAATATACGGGCTGCCAATTTTCTCCACGGGTACACGTTAGATGGCGCCAGATCTGTTCTCTCGTCGTAAGAGATCCCAAGCGGTTTTAATGCACCCGGTTGTAAGCAGTCGCCAGTGTGTCGACCGGGCTTAAGGTGGATCTCAATGGACGGTAGAGCTAATCCATAGCTTATCCAAGCTATGGATTGACTCTACTGGAGCCAATTCATAGCTTGGAGCATGTCACGTGTCCTTCCGGTTGGGCGGAGTGAGGCGCGGAGCGAGGCGAGGAGAGTAAAGTCACGTGGTACGCATGGAGCGCTGAATTGGATAACGTGACTCGTAGGGTCGGCTGCGGTACATCGTAAGGGGGAACGGAGTGTAAAGGGTACTAAAATATAGGCGTACACATATATTTTTGTACACTCTGGCAGAACGACCTCGATCATTGCGGGGGTACTACGTATCACAGTGGTGTATATGCCGACCCGTATCACATCTTATGGCGGTGGCAGTTATGGACTCTAATGCCAGCCGATGATTGGTGTATGATCATTGTCCTGACCGTGCGGGTCGCCTAGGCAACAGCAGTGCAGAAAATGGCGCGTCGCCGTGGAGGGAAGAGTGCGGCTTGTGTGACGTCATAGTGCTGCATGCAATGCGAAGCAGCGCGCTCATGGTGGTACGCGGTTCACGAGACTCGGATGAAATTTGGCCGCACAGCCGGCGATTTTCGAAGGCATACTTTGCAGGGTCTAGGAGGTTAGTTTAGTATATATAAAGATAGAGCTAATTTTGTTATGTGTTTGTTTGGAAGTCGGAAAATTCAGCAGACACAGTGGGCGTCTGGCGTTTCCGCTGAAAGTGAGAAATTTGACCAGTGCAGTGCCACCGTTGACCTGAGGACTTCAACGTGCATCTCTAAGTAGTGACGTACACGACCGAACGTCGGTATGATGCTCATTCAGATCGAAACGGGCCGAGGTTGGGATCGAATCTCAGGGATCCCTGGGTTTTGCAGAGGGCTTTCGTTCCACGCGCTCCTAGCTGCGATGATCTAACGCGCTCAAACTATATGCATATAGCGTTAGCAACGTAATGGCGCGCACCTCCAGCACAGATCGGTTACACGTTTACACACGTGTGCCTTGTCGCGTGGCGACGGTAGAACTGGGCGGTGAAACAGAGAGTCGCTTCGAGCAGCTCGAAGACGCCCGAACCTTTCTTCACTTCCTCGCGTCTCGTATTGCAGGCGCCGCCCATAAACTCTGCGACCTCGATCGAGCAGTCGAAGTCACACCAAATCTAGGCGCACTATATTTTTGGGAACTTCTGAATGTGTGTGTGTCTGTGTGCCTACGGTGTTTGTGTGTGTGTGCCTGTGACTGACCTGGGTCGCAATCAATCAACAATTATTGGTTGAAAGTGTGCCTTGCTGGTCTTCTTACAGGACTTGCGAACATTGTCATTCTGCTTCTAGCCTGGAGACGCTCACGCAAAGGAAGAAGACTCGTGCTAAGATAAAGGATATTACTCACGCCTATAGATGCATCACACACGCGCCAGGTTACAGCCGCCATTGATGACCTTCTCTTGTCTTACCCAGATGCCGAGCGTCTGAGGCGGGCGTTGACGAGCCTCCAGCCCTTCCTAGATAAGATGGGCATACGTACCTTCCCAGAGGCCAGAGCGGGGCATACATTGGACGCGAGTACCGCGTCAGCGTTCGGCTGGGCGTCGGGACCAATCAGTAAAAACCCTGGTCCGAACAGGAACACTGAGGCAGCAGTCGTACTATAATCTGTGTCCCGCGTTCAGCTTCGGTAGCTATAAAGGGAAAAAAAAAAGAAACAACACTACGACTTTGTTATCTAGAAGGGAGTAACCTGACCTTTTCTGGTGATAACAACGGAAGCTATGCGTCAAATCGTCTCCAGTGTAGAACGCAGCCGGGATTTACCATTGCGCTTGAGTGTCACGGCTAAATGAAACTAAAACGGGCAAAACGTAAGCATCCCACGGGAGTTTCTTTTACTTCTGTCAAGTTTCGCCTAGCAACGATTACGCCCGTTTCATGGGTACTCCAAAGGTACACTAAAGAATGAACTCCCTTAAAGATTCGTCGAAAGACCGCACGGCGATGGACACGCGCACAGTCAAGTCCACGAGATGAGTTGCCAATTCCTAAAGGAAAGAGCGTTCCGAAGGCCTTTGAAGTGCACGTGAAAGAGCTCTGGTAAAAGCATAATCTGTCCTAAAACAACGGGTGGTGGTGCGTGTAGGCGTCTTATGAGGAGAGCAAGTGCTTCTTGCGGAGGAGTTGCTGTGACGTCGGAGCGACGCCCAGCACTGATTGGCCTCGATTAAAAGAATAGTTGGTAGACTTCAATGCTATAGATGCCCTGAGGTCTACCCACTACTGGTTTTCCACCAGCCAATCAGAGCTCGGGGTCGTTCTGATGTCACCGCAACTTCTGCGCAAGACGCAGACGTCTTGCTCTCCGAATACACCGCCCGCGCACCGAAGGTGGGCCTGAAGTGGCCCCCATACGACGTCATTAAAGCCGGACTGCCTCGTTGTCGGATGCCGCGATGCTGGCGGGTGGTCGTAGAACTTCCGGCAAAAAGCACGAGCCGAGCCGAGTTCACGTCGAACATTGACGCATGCCTCGTGTTTAGTACGTGTTCAGAGCATGTGAGCGAGCAATGGTGGACCGGCGTTGGCGCGGACTTTTGATAAAGGAATCGGAGAGCAAGGGGCGTGAACAAAATAAACCGCGCTACGCGCGTCCTTGTTGAGCTCTCATTGACCATAGCCATCCTTCGGGGATCGAACACAGGGTGGCCCGTCGAACTGGTGCGGTACAACTCTCGGTCAGCTCTTGGAGTTGCTCTGCAATTTCATACGGTAATCTCTACGAGAGAAAGAGAGAGAGAGAGAAAGAAGAAAGGTTCCCCCAAAACAACTTTCTTTCCCCTAAATTCCCCTAAATCACTTAGGAGAGTCAGTCGCTGCAATACGGAGTGAACGAGGTGAATGACGAGACTGAATTATGTTTAGACCTACGCGTAAAGACACGGCGACACTGTGACATTGAGCACGGCGTGACCACACGTGAAACGTCAATTTCAGTGTGACGTGACGTGACGCCGGTGTCATGCTTTATGACACTTTAGCTTCATTCAGTAGGGTCTAAGAATTAAAACAGCACAGAGGACGAGATACCACATGAAAGAAAACACAGACACGGCTAAGTATGCCGTCCCAACTCGCCCATCGTCATTTGGCTTTCAAGCCAAATGACTCCTTCTGAATCAAGACTTCTTTTTTTTTTACACCCCTGTTTACAGTTATTTCAATTGCCTTTAGATCGAAGAGTTTATAGAGAATAGGTCAAACAGGGTACGTCGAGTGCTGCGCAGTGGGGATCACTGAAGGATTATTCGGCTCTGTGAAGGCATGGGTTCTGAAAGCCTTTCGAACGGGCGTTGTAATGGACCGTACTATACACGTTAACTGCGCGTTGTGCGTTGCGGATTGCGTTGTTTCACGCGGGTCGTCGTTTAGGTTCGGCGAACAAGTTTGCCAGCTTCCTGCGCAGGGGTTACAGTGACGCCACAAATTCGAGCCTCGAATATTTCTACTTGGGGCTCGTGCGACTAGACCATCTTAAATATATCGCGCACTTCGCGCGAAACATTTTTTTTTTTTTTTTTTTAAGCACCAAGAACAGTTGCAGTTCTATAAAGTCACATTGCGTTTCTGTGGTCTGACGATTTTCTTGCAACATCCTGCTTCGTCAAATTCGTAATGGCGGCTACGCTTCAGAAGTAAAACGGCTACAATTTGGGGACATTGTAACCGTTCTGCTGGTCAATGTCCACTCCTTCGTGTTCATCTTCTGTGTTTGCGCGTACAAGTTTACAATCAACCAACTAGCCCAACAACAAGTCTTGCTAAATTACAGGCCACGCTCCGCCAGAGAGGAGGCACCAATACGGTTTAGACTTTAGAAATCTCCAATGCATGCGAAATAAAATTTAAGAAAAAATTAAAAGAAAGGAAAGCTAAGAAAGGAAGGGAAGTGGGAGGCAAAACGATAATGTGTGTCTGTTGCGCTTATATCCTCAGTGTCTTCTACTTGCGTGGCGACGGCAAAACAATGTTTTCGCCCCTACTGGAAGTGACGACAATTCAAGATGGCGGCGCCCTTGAAGAAAGGGTCTCTCAGAGCAGACGTACGAACAGTGTCAAAATGGCTCAGTTATCGGACACCGTTATCATATACAACTGCGTACACAAAGCGCAGACAGAGAAAGTTGTACGACGATACGAACCCTAAAGAAGAAGACTACTCCTGATAAGCTTTCGAGGAAAACAATAAACACTGCTGATTTGAAATTTCTTTGCACGGTCGTTTCACGTGACACATCCCAGTGGTGTACACCAGACACCTGTACCGATGCCCGTACCCACAGCGAGACTGTGCGCATCTTTTGCCCCGTAACGTGCAAATCCCACGTTACAGTACCACATACTGCCCCAAACACCCACTCCTGATTTGGCCGGCGATAAAGCTGGTGTGCCAGTCAACATGTCCCCTTGCCCGTCCGCACCACCGCCGTATAAATGATTGCTGACCGGCTTGGCTGACTGGTTTACCGAGCCTCAGTTTTGAAACTAAGACGACAACCATAATCCAAGCTTTGCCGCGAGTGTTGAAGGCAAAAGTAGAATGGCTCAGACTTTTAATACCGATTCCGTGATATGGCTTGTTACAGAACAAAGCATATATACACCTTTCCCGTTGTATCGCGGCAAGACAAGCATGAAGATGCTGAACTAGCTGCAGCACGAGGACACAACGTCGCACCTTTCTTGTAGATATGTAAATAGTTCGTAGTTATAAATAACAGAGTTTTGTTTTGAGCATGACCGATAATTCCGCTGTGCTAATTTACACAACTGACTCCAAGCAACATCTTCTGTAATCGTATTATTCACCTCAAGCATCGGGTCTTTGCGGAACGTTACTAGTTTCCCCCTTAAATGGCGGTCCAATCCAAACCACCAAACCAATCTAAAAGCCCGAAATCTGTTTAGGTTTCAAATAACTTTTGCAGGCCGGAGCGGCTGGAAAGTGTGCGGATCTGTGAACGAGACAGCGTTCACATCTGTGAACGAGACGTTCTCGCACGACCGCTTTCGATGTATGTAGGTGCATCTTAGTTTTGCTCTATGTTATTTTATCAAAACGTAGAGGCTTCAAGAACCAAAATCATTGCTTCGTCCTTCGAGAACCAAATCCTGTAAGAACTACTTCGCCGAACGCACAAATAATGTGCAAGAATTTTTTTCTCGAAATTTTATAACTAGTATAGATTAAGAAAAAGCCTTAGTGCTGAATTTTAGGCGCCACCAAATAAAGGTCAACAATGGGCATAGTGCAGACACGAGTGCTGCGTCATTGTTTGTCTAAGACTCGTGTTCGATCAGCACGAGTCCCATCGGCACTCTGAGGCCGGCACACTTTTCTCCTTTCCAATCTATGCGTCGCGGTGGTCACCTTCAGGTGACGACAAAAAATGTGTCACTACGGCTGTGTCACCTATACAGTCACAGACAGCCCAAAGGCTAGTTATCACATTTGCGACTGCTTACCACCTGGTGCCTTAAAACCCCTTGGGATCTGTTGCCACGAGTAGGGAGGCTCAAGTGAGGGTGCAACTGCTAGATCGGGTATCACGGGATATGGACGCCATTTAATCGCTAAAGTTTGCTGGGAGTCTATGAGGCAAAGGGTGGTTTTATTTCCTAACTCAGGTCATAAGAGCCAATTAATGTACTTAAATAATTTACACAGGGTATAAATGATTACTTTTCCATAGCCGCCAGTTTTGTTCCGATAGGTTAAGTATTTGTTTAACGCAAAAAATGGTAAAGTCCGACGTCGTGGACGTTGCTTTAAACCCTTAAATTGCAAGCGCCCTCTAGGTTTTGAGTTGCACCCACCCTCATTTGAGCCTCCCTAGCGACGAGAGGACACACTGGCGCCACCTGTCGGATAACCAGAGCATTTTAAATTCCCGTATATATATTTTTTCGCGCATCGTTCTTTTTAACGCGACAGCGTTTAGGAGGCCGTGTCGCAAGAAATCCGCCGTCGGTGTCAGCGTCGGCATCGGCATCACCAAAAAGTACCATAATGCAACGCGCGCAGCCACATGTGACGTCACACGTGGCTGTGACGTTATGTCTCTATCGACCCCCTAAAGTTGGCGGGCAAAGTTTCCGCTAAATTCAGCGAAACTCAGCGCTCGTGTTGTCCTGTTCTTTCTGTCCTATGTTCCGCGCATTTCCATCTAGTCAGCGAAAAAATTTCCTGCCAAAATTCGCGGAAACTTTTCCCTCCAAATTTAGCGGAAACTTTTCCCGACAAATTTGGCGCCAACTTTTCCTGCCGAATTTAGCGCAAACTTTTCCTGCCAAATTTAGTGAAAAATTTTCCCACCAAATTTGGCAGGAAAAGTCTTGTGACGTCGTTTTCCGCGGTAAATTTAGCGGGGAAACTGAATTGGTGTTGAGGTCACATGACGTCAACTTCCGCTAAATTTAGTGGGTAAAAACTTTTTGCCAAACTTAGCGGGAAATGTTGCGAAAATTTCCCGCTAAATGGGAGGGGAGGAGGAGAGGAGAAGGGAAGGTTACGGAAGGGAAGGAAGGGCATATCTTCCGCTCAGTACCCTTCCCTCCTCCTCCTCAAGAGCTGCGCTCTAATTCGGCACTTCGGGGCTGTGATCACTGCATCCGAAACCGCTCTCTGAACACAACAGTGTGAGGACCGTTGCGAGGTTGGAGTTCCCGTCCTTCGCCAAGTCGGAACCCCTGTGCTAAATACTAAAGCATTTCGTCTAGAACAGCAACGATTTGGGCTTTTTTTTTTCTTTTGAGTCATTAAGGACAGTGCACCTGAGGAGCAGACCTGGCAGCCTCCCGCCAAGCAGGGGGCAACACGCCCTTTTTCGTGACACCCTAAGTTTTCATGTATACTCGAACTCAAATAAACGTCGATTGATCGATTGATATTTTGACTAACTGGTTGATTCATTGATCACTTTTACGCGCGTACCAACACTCAAAGAACTTTTGCAGTAAAGCACACACGTATGCACACATAACAGATTCTATGGACGCATATCTAAAAAAAGAAAACAGTTTCGCACAAAAACAATCGCAAGGTTTCGAAACCTCGTGGTGAAAGCCTGTCACATTCGCAAAAGCGGTGACAGGTTGCAATCAAGATTTTCATAAAATACTCAAATATTTATAGAATTTGTGGTCATTTATATGGGCACGCAAGAAGGGTTTGACTGTCCATTAAATCACGAATTAGCATACGCAAAAGCCTAATATCCCAAATAAACCGCATGTTGTACTGTAAAACACACATATTGGTTTGTCTTAAAAAAGAAAAAAAAAAGAAGAGACCACGTTCTTAACTGTAGGAACGTAGTTTCAGGAAACAGATTCGACAAAAGTCTGTGTCGAAAATGTACATACCTATAGTCGGTTACAAGCTAAGAAAAAACCGGAAATGCCTCTCAGAGGAAAATGTAATCCTACGCCGAGAAACGCCAGCCAATTGGTTTCATGACGTCACGATTCTGTGGACCAATCGCGATCCTTTTGAAAAAAAAAAGCTCAACATGGCTGCTGGCCTTAGCAACGCGATGCTATAGTTTCTCGTGACAATTATTCTGCTTTTTTGCACCGTGTTTTACGTGCCCGAGGTTACGCCACGAAATCTTAATGGCATCGGCTTGCGTTTGCAGCAGTTTTTGCGCGACAACGGGAGAATCCAGCGACGCTATCGCCAACGAAAATTTCGAAGCGGGCGCGAGGCTTAGCACTGCTGAGAGCTGGAAGACGGTATGTTAGACAGTATCTTGGACAGAAAATGAATTGGGAAGACGGTACATTGGACATGACTTTCTTTCTTTACTAAACAGCTATTTCGTTGACAAAAACATATTCTAACTTATTTAAATGTCCTGAATGAATTAAATAAATATTGTAGTAGTTTAAGACACGTTTCCTGGAGGAAGAAAAAGCAACGTTGCTAGCGAACTACTTTCTCGACGGCGGAGGCACTTCAGATGGGCGCAATGCGCTTGTGGGTGGAGCTAAAAGATTGTTCTTAGGTTGCATCCGACTATAGATTGTTCAAATTGCTTAGTTTACCAAGAGTATCTCAAGTTTTTGTTTTCTTCTTCGCCACACGTAACCGGCCTAAGAGGACCTGTCAGGAGTTGTACTTTCTATAACCTTCACTGGCTGACTCAATGGATACTTCGTATAAAATATCTGCCTATATTCATCGACAATTTAAGAAACGAAAGGCGTGGTTGAAAGGGGCGTTGAACCTAGAGAAAAAAACCTTGTGTTTTCTACCTGGTTAAGGCGGGCGTGTCTCAAAACAAATGTTTGTCGAAATAATAAATTGTTTACCCAATATTTATGCTTCGATACGCATATTTCGATTAGCAGGCGCAACCGAAATCGTACTCCTGTGAGATGATGATGATTGCGCTTGTGCCCAACTAGTGAGCGCTCGAAGTGCCCAGCACGACTGCGTACAAACGATATCATCATGATCCCACAGGTGTACAATTTCGATTTCGCCCGCCAATCGAAAAATTCGTGTTGTAAAAAAAATATTGGGCCAAAACGATTTTTTTTTTTTGTTTGTCTAGGCTCAGTGTTTCTTTAATGTTCTCACGTTTCTTGCTTAATGATTGGTTCTTCGGCACTCTTATCCCCTAATGCCGTAACCTGATTGGCTGAGGGGCGGTAATGAGATGCATGATACTCGCCCCGTCCTGCCCTTCTGAAGCTGAGATCCATGGACTATGAGCGCCGAGGTGTTTCGGTGGCGCCCTCTATATGGTTTCCGTTCGTGACGTCACGACCAGGATTTGCCTCGCCGTGATTGGCAGGATTTGCCTCGCGGTAAGCCGGTGATTGGGCAGGCAGGATCAGAGTACAGGAAGCTATGGTTTGGCCAATCGCGAACGCCAACCACAGTGACACTTTTCGTCGCACACATGAAGCGATATCATTCCCAAATTCCAGAGATAAGACCTAACGAGGGTATAATAACATACCTTTCATGCAAGCAATCATGACAGGACGCAAAAAATAACAGGAAAGAAAGCGTATACGTCAGAGAATACCGATCGAACTGGTATTTACATCGTAAGTTCCGCTCTCTAGTTGGAAGACAATAGAAGGATAAGATACCATTGACGCCGCCGTATTTCCAGCCGCACAAACGCTTTCGAGCACTGGCCTCTTCGGCTAGATAAGTTTATATGAACTGCAGTCCAACATCCTGCTCTCCAGAGGGAAGGAAGCATTCCGACCGCCTACGCCGGGAATTTTCTCCAAACAAAAGGTGAATACCTTCACTTCAGCATGGTTTTTACGTTTTTAGACTGACTGATCGACTTGTGCGCTCAAAACGGCTCTAAAAAAAGAGAGATTGATAAGGTGAACACTTTCATGCTTCTTCCTACTAAGGTGGAAAAAGAGTGAAGTGTCTGAACAAGGCCAGGCCAAGGCGGTCAAAGTTTGCACGGGCTTCGCGCATTTCCCGATAGGGGCGCTCTCAGTTTAGGGGCCTAGCGGCAGCGTTCGGCTTCTCGTCAACATGCGAGGCAGCCAATACTACTGAAGCCTTTTGGAAGACCATCGAGCAGACGAAAAGACGACTGGAGGATTGGTGGCACCATACACAACACAGGGGGCGCTGAATTCACCCCCAGGCTTGGGCACGATTATTTGAGCCCGCCCGTTATAAAGGGAGCAGCCGCAGTATCATCATCATCATCATCATCATCACCTATAGATTACCAAGCAAAGATTAAGTGAATGGTGGCAGAAAGCGAGAGAAAACTAGGTATTTTCTTATTAACTGATGGTAAGGGGGTTTTATAGCCTCACTTTCTTTGCAGTGTGGAGTGAATATAGATTTCACATTTAAATATTCTAAGCTTAAATGGTAAAACAAAATGGCTAGGTGGCGTAAGCTACCGCCCTATCCAAAGGGCTCAGCCGGATTCATCCATCCATCCATCCTATCCTAAGGGCGCGCGGTCGCCCGCCGCGCGGCCTTGTAAACACGTGCGCGAATAAGGACGGTTGCTCGAGCGGCTGCCGTCGGCCCCCTCGTGCCCATTAAGATGCCTCTAGACATGTTTTGCCGCCTCACGCTGTTTGACAGAAATGCGAGCGAACCTTCGCCACACTTGCTCCGTGGCGACGAAGTGGTGCCGTCGCCACGGAGCGATTTATATATATATGAACGAAGCTTGGAGAATGCCAAGACTGAAAATACGTTTTGACGTAAAAGAAAAGTTTGTAATGTGATACTTAGGCCGTGAAACGTCACTTTTACTCACACGGCGCAGCATGTTTCTTTCTCTCTTTTTTTGTTTATATGTTAACATAATTTTAGTATTGTCGTTCACCGAGTTCCTTACTCAAATAGGCCGTTTTTAAACGTCCAACAAGCAACATGGGCAGTCGCCATTGCTCGGACATGAAGCGCCTGATTGGATGCGATTCTTCGCCGAACGCTGACGTCATACTCGTATCCAACGAATGCTCAGAGTGTGAGCAATGGCGGACAGGCGTTCGCGCGGTCTTTTGAGGAGGGTCTATTGCAGCGATTGTCTCTTTCAAATTGCTCTCCGAGAAAGTAGATGCACTGGATCGAGTGTAGCGTATATACGTATTTATATAAACAAAAAAAGGGTACCCGCCATCTAATACTGCTCCTTTAAATTTGTAAAATAATAATAATAATAAGTTGTGCCGATTATTATACGGCATCTTCAGTAAACACTGTGACTACTTGTTTTAATTGACTACGGTCACTTTAAGAGCCAGAGAGCGTTGGCTTTTTTTTTTTGCGCTTTTTGTTTTGTTATTTGTTCTTAAACTTCCTTATCAGCGAATGTCGCCGTCTGATTAGATATGAAGCGATAAGATGTTCGGAACTGAAAATGCCCAGCATTTGCTGAACTGCCCTTGTCCATAATACGTTTAGCTGTTGCATTTCGCCGTTACAATACGCGGATGATGTACTCAGCGTCCGGCCCGTACAGGCCTAAATACGTAATGCTAATGAAGTTATGCATGTCTAGTCATATTATGCATAGAATGTGCAGTATTTGAGGAGTGATTTGATTTTATTTATTTAAAAGGCATCAAACAATAGGGAGTATTCACTGGCGGCCATATCTGTGTGCGTGGTTGCTGAGCGCGTGCTGACGGCGAGCTTCCACAGTTCTTTTGCAACGTGCATTCCACACCATCAAGATTGCCGGTCTTAGCAGGCTATTAATGTAAGCTCGTTCTGAGCATGCGCCCTAAACACCGCCCTCAAATATGGCGTCCAGTGAATGCCTCCTATATTGTTCCGAGGTTGAAGCACCTATATTTTTTTTTTTTTTATAAATTTATTTGACAAATTTAAGGGGGAAACTGACCTTGTACGTCAATTTTTCGGCTAAATTTATCGGGACACTAAATTGGTGTAATAGGTCGCGTGAAGTAAAGTCCCGTGTTATTAATTTCCCGCTAAATGTAGCTTGGAAATTTAATCGGCATGTAGGTCACGTGCCGTAAAATTTTCTGCTAACTTCAGCGAAGGAATTGAATTAGCCTGTAGGCCTCGAGATGTCACGTCACGTGATATCAATCTACCAGCTAAGGTTAGCGGGAAAACTTAGTTGGTGTATACTTCACGTGACATCAATTTCCCCTCGAATTTTTTAAAGAAATACATGGGCGGACAGACGCGCGAATTTTGGGTCTGCAGAGTTCCGCTAAAAAACATTGCATGCCTTAAAAAAATCAGTATAACGGGTTATTAAAAAGGTCGTTGTATGTGAGAAATTGTGAACATTCTCTTTGAGGATTAGGTCGCGAATGGTTTTTGTGACGCTTTTGTGAGAGGCTGACATGGACCATTTCAATAATTGACCTCTGCGCACTGCCGTCTTTGTCCACTGGGCTGCGAAGCGCGTTTCGAGCATGCGCCAGGGCCAGATAAAGAAATATAGGGGCCCTGGACTAACGAGCACTTTGCCCCCCCCCCCCCCCCCCCCTAAACACCGCCCTCAATATATTGTCGTAATATATTGTGGGGAGGGGGGGCCTCCTCACAATATATTACGATTCTAAGGAAAGCGAGAAACGCATCAAACGTGTGCTTGTAGCACCAACGACTATAAATCTACTTCGAACGTCCGTCTTATACGTATTTTGCCTTTCGGAAATGTTTAGGCCCGTAATCCCGTAAGTAGACAAGACTGTACTCTAAAATTTTTTTTTATCTAACACACACATCACGGAGTAGCAGAGCAAGGATGTGTACACATGGTACACGACGAATACACGATAAATGCAGATAATCAACGCTATACAGTATATGAGGCAACACGAACGATAAACTGGAGGGTACAGTACAAATGGAAATTACCAACACTAAGTTACAAAACAATGTACCAAAATGGAAACATTGGAAATAATTGACAAATACTACACCAAACAAACGCTATATGCTTCTCACGGGCACTCTTTGTAATGAGTTGGACAAAAAAAAAAAAAAAAAGCCAATCATCAGCACGGTTATATTGTCACGGGTGGTGACCAAAGGAACACTAAATAAACAGAAAGAAAGAAACGTTTAATGTGGCGAACTTGTGCCAAAAACTAAAAGGGTACAAAGATAATAACAGAGCGTCGCGGGCGTCGAAGTCGGCGTAGCAGCACAGTCGAACGCTGGGGCGAAACTGACTGCGGCTCGCCACGCGGAGCCCCTTATGTACATGCGTGGTCTTCTGGAATAATCGGCGAAGAAACTTCGACGCGTGGAACATTCGGGCCTGGAACAAGCAACATGATTCTCGAATTCTCCGGAACACTAAATTAGAGGAATAAACAAAAGACATGTCGCTCCAGGATTCGAACCCTAGCTTTTCGCGTGGGAGGCAGGCGCGATAACCATTAGGCCACACGCGCGCTGCCTACTTGGCGAGCGCGCGCGGCATTACTCCCCCCTTTAAAAAGTGCATCGCCCCGATGCAGCACAAAACAAAAAGCAAACAAAAAGAACGGTAAACTAAAGAGTCATTTGGAATACGTAAGGTCCACTGTCCTATCGAGCGTAGTACGGCTTCATGCGCACGACGTGGACGACTTCTGGTCGTGGAGGGCGGCGTGATGAAGTCCGTGTTCCATCGGGCATCACCTCGTAGTTCAGATCACCGAGTCGACGAAGTACTTGGTAGGGTTCGAAGTAGCGCTTTAGGAGTTTCTCACTGAGACCACGGCGGCGGATCGGTGTCCACACCCACACCCTGTCTCCGGGCTGGAAGTGGACGTCCCGACGACGAAGGTTGTAGCGGCCAGCGTCGACACGTTGTTGGGCTTGAATACGGTGTCTGGCGAGCTGGCGGACTTCTTCTGCCCGTTGGGCAACCACCTGGGCGTCGTCGCTTCCGTCGAGAGCCGGTTCGTGGGGTAACATCGCGTCCAGCATTGTCGTTACCCTGCGCCCATGCACCAGTTGAAAGGGTGTCACTCCGGTGGTCTCTTGTACGGCCGTGTTGTAGGCAAAGGTGACGTACGGCAGCACCTCGTCCCATGTCTTGTGCTCCACGTCGACGTACATGGAAATCATGTCGGCGATGGTCTTGTTGAGTCTTTCCGTGAGCCCGTTGGTCTGCGGGTGGTACGCCGTGGTGCGACGATGGCTGGTGTGGCTGAGACGCAGGATTTCTTGAGTCAGCTGTGCCATGAACGATGACCCTCGGTCTGTGATCAGGACTTCGGGGGCGCCATGCCGGAGGACGATGGACTCGATGAAAAACTTGGCGACTTCCACAGCAGTCCCTGAAGGGAGGGCTTTCGTTTCGGCGTACCGCGTGAGATAATCTGTGGCGACGATTATCCAGCGGTTTCCCGATGTTGACGGCGGAAAGGGGCCAAGTAGGTCCATTCCGATCTGCTGGAACGGTGCGGTCGGGGGAGCAATCGGCTGCAGGAGACCGGCCGGTTTCGTTGGCGGTTTCTTACGTCGCTGGCACTCGTGGCACGATCGGGTGTAGAGGTGGACGGCTTTGGGGAGCTTTGGCCAGTAATACTTTTCACGAATACGGGCCAGTGTTCGGCTGTAACCGAGGTGTCCCGACGTCGGGTCGTCGTGACATGCTTGAAAGATCTCCTCCCGAAGGTCGGTCGGGATTACCAGCAACCACGGTGTGCTGTTGTCGCCGAAGTTCTCTTTGTAGAGTACACCTTGTCGAATGGCGAAGGTCGGCCATAGTCGTGAGAAGACACGTGGCACGGTACCCCCCACCCCCTTCCAGGTGCTCGATTAATGCG